GCGCTGGTGGCGCGGCTGTGGAGTGAGTTGCTGGGGACACGGGGGGCGGTTGGGGAGGCGGCGGGAGGCGGGGGGTGGCTGATGAGTATAGTGCGGGAGTGCAGTAGGAGGTGGTGCTGGGCCAGTGCTTTTGACATTGAGGAGTAGGTAGAAGCAGTGACCTCCCTCCGGCCCTGCTTGCGTCCCCTCTGGTGATCAAGGAGCAAGCCGCGTCAGAGGCCGCGCGCCCCACCACCCAGTGAGCGCCCCTGGCCTCGCCTCCTGCCCCCCCAGGCTTGACGGGTGACGCGCTGGTGCTGGTGGAGCCGGGAACACCCAACGGCTTTGCCAACATCGCGGAGGCGCGCGCGGCCCTGCTCACCAGCGAAGGCCGCAAGGCGGCAAAGGTCGCCCGGCGCGCCGCCGCTGCGGGCGGGGTGAGCGCGGACGCGAGGCGGGGTGGCGAAGGGTGCACTTGCGCGGGCTGCGCTGCGGCTGCTGCATCGCTGAGCTGGCACGGGTGTGCCGCTGGCGCGCCAGCTCTGCGGCCCTTGTTGCATCACGTCATCTTCAGGCGAAGCTCTGCCTCTTGCCCTGCAGTCTTATTTGTTGTCTCACCCCCCCACCACCCACCCGCATCTCAAATGTGCGCACACGACCACACACACACACACACACACACACACACGCACGCACGCACGCACGCTCGCGTGCCCGCACACGCGCACACACACGTACCTACAAGATGCGCGTGCCCTGCGCCTCTGCGCCGCCCCCGCAGGCGGGCGTCGACCAGAACCTGGCCGCCAAGCTGCGGCGCTACGGGGCGCATGCCGCCGCGCCCTGCCCCCACGACGGGCACTGCCCCCTGGCTGGCAGCCGCGCGTGGTGCCACTTTGGGCAGCGCTTCCACAGGCCCAGCTGGATGCAGGTGGGAGGGCGCAGGCGCAGCACGCGCACCCGCGGCGATTGTGCGCGTTGGGGGGGCTGCGCCCAGCTGCTCTGGGTGGGGGCCGGGACGTACAGCTGTGCTGAGGACACAGCCTTCCCCTTCCAGGGTGGCCCCGCAGTACCTTTTGCATCTCTTGTCGCTAGTCCAAAGCGGTTGCTGGCACCCTCGCTCAGCCTCCCCTGCTTCGCCAAACCCCCCTCCCCCCTCTCCTCTACCCCCACTC